TTTGAAGGATTTAAGGTCATTGCAGAAAGTTTCAAGGCTGCTAAGAATAAAAATATTGTAGTGGGGTCAAGTATTTTATAAGAGGTGTATTCAGATAAATGCTGGCATGGGATTCAGATGCCACAAAAGTCAGATTCCCTAAGGTTTAAGTGTGAAGTTTTCATAGCTGGTGCCTCAGCAGAGAAAAACACTGCACTCAGCTTCAGAGACTTGGATTGTTGGAGACTATATGACATACAACCCACTGGACTGCCAGGGAGTGGATGCACGTCCTTGTATCCACTGGATCGTTAAGTATCTAATACAAATCAACAGAATCAAATATTACTCCTTTCTTAAACACCAAGATTGTCACAATCAGACACTAAGACTACCAGATCTTCAAGGGAAAGTTGATGCAGACCCCTAAAACATCAGAATAAAAGTGAAGATTAATAATTCTCCTTATATTTGATAGAGACACTGAGAGGACATCTCAAGTGCTTCTCAGGATAGACTGTAAAATGAAGGGACAGCATATTTTGCAGGTGAACATGGGCCCAAAGTTTCAATCATAATGTCCCACAAAAGGCCGTGAAGTAAATGACAGATTTTCTTTGGAGTCAAACAGGTAGATATTTGAGAAGACTAGACTCAGAAGTCGCTGGGAACACACAGCAGGTCAGGCAGCACCTATTGAGAAAGGAAAGTGAGTCAATGTTTCAGGTCCACGACCGTTTGTCAGAACTGGGCATGTTAGTGTGTTCCCAACATGCCCCAGTTCTGACGAAGGGTCGTGAACCCGAAACATTGACTCACCTTCCTTTCTTCACAGATGCTGAGTATTCCCTCCCCCATGCTCGAACCCTGACACCTGACTGTTCAGCGCTTTGGGACGTCCTTCCGACGTGAAAGGCGCTCTATAAATGTCATTTTGTTGTTGTTGTTGTTCCCAGCGACTTCTGTTTTTGTTTTCCACTGTATACAATACTTGCGCTACAGTTAATGATGAAGGGACATTGACAGCATAGTGCTCTTCTCTTAAAATCATTTGTTAAATGTTATCTATGAATTCAATCCAGCTTTATGACATTGAAATGTGTCCCAGTTGCTGCGAGAATGCAGCACGCCCACAGTATAACTGCCAGCCTAAACAAAGAGCTTGTGTTCCCACTTAAGGCTTGAATCCACAACGTTCTGACCTAAAGGCAGGGGTGCAAGTGATGGAGCCAAACTGACACAGACTCAAACTGCTAAGACAATGTCCTTCTTTAGTTTCTTCCTGGACTTATTCTTGAATGACATTCTAAATTGCAAAAAATCATTTCAGTGCCAGATTACCTTTCTACCTTTTGTAAATACGGCAGTTTGACCACAACCTATATTTATACAGTGCACTTTACCAGGACAGAGCACTGCAGGGCTGGATGCCAACCTAGGGAGCAGGAAGAGGGGGAGGTGACCATAGGCAGGATCGGAAATGTGGGTCTTCAGGTGGCATTTGAAGATGAATATAGTGTTTGGAGGGATGGGTGGAGAGGGATTCAGGCAGGAAGTACCAAGGGCTGGGGGGGTCATGCCTGAAATTATCCATATATTGTAAAATTGTCTATTTGAAAGTATGATGAAGTGGATGTCATGTTCCTGTTTGGAATCACCAGAAGTCCTTTCTGGCACAGAGAAAAAGATGAAAAGGTGTACGTCTCACCTGCGAGACCTCGGACCTGATGACATCTCCACGAGTCATCGTGGACATACATGTGTTTGCTCGCAAGAGAAGCACTTTACATCTCAAAGAGCCCTCTACGTCTCCAGCGCTAGGTGCCATTTACGCTGTTGTTTTCCCGATGAGCCCTTTATCTAGTTTTACTGTTTGCTTCAAGAATGAGGGAAAATATATTGATGCTGTAAATTGTAAGGTCTTAAGTGTACCCATGTTGAGGCACAGCCTATCCAGTTCGGCTTTGAAAGACTGTCTGTTCTGTAATGTGTTCTGTAAACAGATGCTGTCTTCATTCTGCGCTGGAGCTGGCAGCTTTCAGATATTTTACCCAGAAGTGCGTTATAGTTGGCAGCTCCGTTTTGTTGACCTTAACATGCTTTCCCCCCCTCTTAATGTATGTCCTTTTAGTTGTATTAGAGTTTGCTTCTATGACTGTGCCAAGACTTCTGCTGCTTGCTTTGAGTCTCGGACAGTGTAATTGAACAGAAAAAAATATATTTTTTATAAGAGATGTAATCTTATGATTGCCTTTCCCTTCAGCTCTACCTCTTGAGCCAGATTTGCATTTCACTCGGATTGCCATCACTCATCCACTGAATTTTATTTAACATTGAAAAAAGACAAAACTTTTTTCTGAATATATTTTCTGATCTTTGTAGCCATATTACTGTATAGTTTAAATGCTTTATGAATACAACAGCCCAGTAATGTTCAGCTATTGTGGCAGCAATTTGTCTTGTTTACTGGGGAGGTGGGGATGGTTGCATGCGGAGGTATATTGCTTCTGCTCTCCTCTCCCCTCAGCTATTTCAGGCTTGCTATGCATCCCCTGCCTCCTTTGCACCACCATCAGCAACCAAACCTTCAGCAACCACCTCTGGTATTCCCTTTTTTCTAACCGTCTTTCTATCTGCATTTGAATCCTACTTAAAAAGGTACCTCTTCAACCATGCCTATGCTCACCTCCCCCTTATTATAATAATAATAATCCTTGCATTTGATATAACGCCTTGTCACATCCTCAAGATATCTCAAAGCGTTCCACAGAATATACTGTAAAGTGGATTAACTGTATTTTGTGGGCGAAACATGGCAGTCAATTGATGACAGCAGTGTACCACAAGCAGTCATGGTGACCAAATTTAAAAAAATATATTTTTGAAAGAATCATTATCCCTGGAAAAGCAATCCACCCATCGATTATCAAACAGGTTCCTACTTACTGCTAGGTAAACAGAGGCATGTGGAGTAAGGAAACTTGCCTAACGTTTCGCCTTGTTCAGCAATCAAACCCAAGATTGTGAGGCAAGTGCTCTAACCACTGAGCTACAGGACTCCACAGATGAAGATAGGAACACAGGAACAAGAATAGATCATTTGGCCAATCAAGCCTGTCCCACGGTTTCCAAGATTGTGGATGGTCCACAACTCAATCCCACCTCCCCGCCCTTTCGCTATATATACCACATGTTGCTGTCCTTCCGAAGAAACATTACACTGAGGTCCCATGTGCCTGCGTATGTGGATGGCAAAGATTCTATGACCCTATTTAAAAAGAGAAGGAAATTTCTCCTAGTAACCTGGCCAAGAATTTTTCAGTTAAAAATGTAATATTTTGGTCTCACAAACTAATGGCCGTTTGTGAGACACTTCTGTGTTTGCTTTCAACGATAGAGTTGCTACATTTTACAGCAATTTCCTGTGAAGCACCTTGAGACATTTTGACATTAGATATCATTCTCGCAAACAACAACAAGATTACATTTGTATAGTGCCTTTCATGTCAGGAGGACGTCCCAAGGCGCTGGACAGTGTACAGCATTTCAGACCCGAGCTGGGGTCAGGGGGGAGAGGGGAGGGGAGGGGAAGGAGGGTGGCCGATGGCATGGTCGAAGAGGAGGGTCTTGAGGCGGGACTTGAAGGAGGCTAAGGAGGGGGCGAGGCGCAGTGACTGGGGAATGGAAAATTAGCCAGAAGTGTTCAAGTGTTCAGTGTTACATTCTGTTACTCTTGATTATCTTTTGTAAATATACAATGCAACTTGCAGCAATATCTTTACAAAGGCAGCTTGGTGTAGGTGTGATCTTTACAGTTCTGCTGCTTTCAAATAATTCCATTTGGAAGCAGAGTTGAACCAATATCAGCACACTAATTCCAAACACCTTAAGGAATCAAAGGGACAATTACTGTAGGAGATAGTGGTGCAAGAGTTTAATGCAGTGATGCTGCTATCAATCAGGCAACTGAATGTAATTTACATTAAAAGGTACTTCAATTGTTTCACTCATTGGAGTAGACATGGAGACCACCTAAATTGAACCACAATATCATAAAGACAAACCCAATCAACAGACTGCTACAAGCTGCAAAAGATTTGTTTTCAATCTTTGGACAGAATCACAATTTGAATTTGTCATGACCATTGACAGCCTTTCAAAGCGTTTGAATCTATCTCTAACATAGCACCAATGATATAGCTTGATATACAACCAAGGATGTGTCAGAAAAACGTTTTAATTATGCAACACTATCTCCACGTTACATATTGACATTGAATGGCCACTTTTAATGAATAGGATGATGTGCTTTATTACGTAAGCCATTATTATTAATAATAATTCTTGCATTTAATATCAAGCCTTTCACATCAGGAAGACATCTCAAAGTGCTTTAACAACAGCAGCAACAACTTGCACTAAGGGTAGGGTCTCAGAGCACTTAACAGTGGCGGAGCCTGACTCCAAGCCGGGGGGAGGTGGCTGTAAGCATGGTCGAAGAAGAAGGTTTTCAGACAGGACTTGAAAAAGGGGAAAGAGGGGACAAGGTGGAGGGATTGAGGGAGAGTGTTTCATAGTTTCGGGGCGTAGTGGCTGAAAACGCGACCTCAATGGTGGGCGAGGGACAATCAGGAAGCCGGTGCCAGTCTAGCGGAGGTGCAGGGTGGTGGATTGGGGAGTGAGGAGGTCGGAGAGGTAGAGAGGTGCCAGAGCGTGAAGGGATTTGAACACGAATGTGAGAATCTTGAAGCCGATCCATGCGGTGATGGATTTACAGGATTTACTCTAAGGTATAATGACTGCATTTTGTGGGCAGACACTTAATAGTGATAATGTGAACAATAGCAAATGAGAGGAAGCTAGGAGCATCTGTGGTCAGACAACACAAAATATTCCTTCTTAGAATTTTTTTCACAGAAAATGTTGCCATAAAGGCTGCACAAAGGGTTCAATACAAAGGGCTTGCACCTTGCACAGACTACGTTTGTTTTATTGAACTGGATTTTTCCTTGTTTTCCCAGGTGGGGTGTAAGGTGCTGCACTTCTTCCTCCAGTACATGCTGGGCTGCAATTACTTCTGGATGCTCTGTGAAGGGATCTACTTGCACACACTGATTGTGGTGGCAGTATTTGCTGAGGAACAACACCTGCACTGGTACTATCTGCTGGGCTGGGGTATGTATGATAATGAGGAAACACAAAAAGAAACAATAACTTTATATAGCACCCTTCACTGAGATGTCAGCCTAGACTATGAGTTCAACATCTCAACTTGAACCCACAATCTTCAGATTCAAATGCAAGAGTGCTACCAACTGAGCAAGGCTGACAACTAGGAAAAGTTCCATTAAAGGAACACACTTCACGACAATTTGTCTGGTGATTTGTATTCTCTCTCTCTGTTGGACAGGGAGAGGAATCAGGATACCATTAGTTAATATTCAATACAAGAATGCAATTCAATTCAACAGCATTTGACCTTTCTTCGTGAAGACAGTATCCCTTTAAATTAACTGTTTTCTATGTGCTTTTTTTAGGTTTTGTTTAAGAAAAAATGAGCTTTGGGGGAGAATTTCAGTCCAGTACATTATGAATATTAAAGAAGATGACGGCATGCAATTTGGGGAGTAAAATAAATAAAGGACAATTAATATATGTGCAAAATTCTGAAATTCTTTGCTTTGAGAAAAAACAAGTTTTCCATAAACTTCTTAGTAATGAATCATTGTAAGTTTAGTTAGTTATTTCTGTACCTTGGAGCAACTTTAACAATAGTTTATTCTTTTAGATTTTCTGTAAACAGGGATACAAGATGACGAACAAGGGTCTGACATGTTGATTTGCATTTGTGAATATATTCTTTCAACTTAAATTTTCAGTTGTACGTCATAGCCATGAATTTATTTGTCTATAACTATGGAAAAGTTGCAGGTGCAGACTCAATTCTAACTTCTTATCCATTCTTGCAAGACTTTGATAAGACGCTTCTGTCCCACTTGTGCCCTAAAGGCTGTGACATATTGCATATCCAATTTCCTCTGGGAATCCACTTTATTTTCAAACAACCCCACGTTCACCATCCTGCTAGATTTTACATTAAGATGTGTTCACTTTTTAAAATTTATCACATTAACTTTTAGTTATCTTCTTCACTGCAAGATTGTTGGGGTGGGGTGGTGGGGGCGGAGAGATTTTCTTTTGTTCTTTAGTATGTGGAATGCCTTTGCATGATGATAATAATAATAATACTTGCATTTGATATAGCTCCTTATCATGTCTTCTAGATGTCTCAAAGCGCTTCACACAATGTACCGTAAAGTGAATTGACTGTATGTTTTGTGGGTGAAATGCGGCAGCCAATTGCACACAGCAGTGTCCCACAAACAGTCATGGATTCAGTGATCAAATTATTATTTTTTTTTGAAGGGATTGTTACACCCTGAAAAGCATTCTGCCAATTGACTAACAACCAGGTTCCTACTCACTGCTAGTTAAACAGAAGCGTGTGATGTAAGGAAACATGCCCAAATTTTCGCCTTGCCCGGGAATCTTGCTTGCAAGGCGAGTGCTCTAATGCAGAATGATATTTGTCACAGAATAAAGGAGGAAATGGTCAGCACCTTGCTTCATTTCTTTACCTGAACTTATCCTGACATCTTAAAGTAGCTGTGAAAGGTGGTGCTTGCTTTTTCTGATACTGTGCCACTGTGCCAGTTACTGAGACTCGAAAGTCAGTTGACATAACTTGGAAAACACACAAGATTGTTACTTCAGCCTATGACTTTTTTCGAGTGTCAGCCTGGCTCAGTTAGCAGCACTCTTGTCTCTGAGCTGGTGGGTTCAAGCAGCACGTCGGGATTTGGAAATCATATAGGCGAGGCTAACACTCCAATGCGGTACTGGGGATGTGATGCATTGTTGGAGGGGTTATCCTTCAGATGACGCAATAAAGTGATGTTCTATCTGCCAGTTCAGATGAATGTTAAAGATCCTATGACATTATTTGAAAAGGGAAGGGAATTTCTTGTCCTGGCCAACAATTCCCCCAAATAAAATTGGTCAATCACTTCATGGTTGTTTGTAGGACATTGCTGTGGGCCAACTGGCTGCTATGTTCACCCACAAATTAGTCATAGTACATCCTGAGAAGCACATTGAGATGTTGTTGTGACATGAAAGGCACAATATCAAATGCAAGGATTATTATCCTTTGAACACCTCACCCTCTTCCATCCCTCTCTTCCACTGAAAATCCTTCTGGTCTACTGCCCCCCTAAGCCCACTGGCTCCTTCCTCTCTGACATTTATACTCTCCTCTCTTCCCTGTCCCTCTGCTCCGAACGCCTGCTCATAATGGACGATTTCAACCTCCACCTAAACTCCCTTTGCACCACTTCTTCTGACTTCACTGCTCTCCTCTCCTCCCTAAACCTCACCCTTCACATTAATTCACTGATCCACAACCGTGGCCATGTCCTTGACCTCCTCACCACCCATGGCCTTGGCATTTCCAACCTCAGCATAGTGGACAAGGCCATCTCGGACCACTTCCTCATCGACTTCTCCTCTCACATTCCTCTCTCCTCCACCAAGCCCTCAACCATCCTCTACCACCCTTGGAAAAGGCTACCCACTGAGACCCTCACAAAGGCCCTCACATCCTCAAACATCCTATCCCTCTGGCCTTCCACCCACAGAGCTACTGAAGCAGCCATCCAGCTGCTCCATGATCCCTCTCCTCCACCTTCAACTCTTTCATCCCCCTGAAATCCAGGACCATCTCCAAACCCACCCGATCCCCCGGCACAACAACCATCTCTGCTGCCAAAAAACCCAAACCCGGCTGCTCGAGCACAGATGGCGGAAAACTGGCCTGACAGTTCACCACCAACTGTGGTTCGAGCATCTCCACAGCTACCGCTGTACTTTGACAGGCTTGAAAACGGCCTTCTACTCCAACATCATCTTGGAGGCAAAAACAATTCCAAAGTCCTTTTTTCCACCACCCACTACCTCCTCCGTACGCCCCCTCGGGCCTCCTCAATCTTCACATCTAATGCCAAGTGCGAGAAGGTCATGGACTTCTTTTCATCCAAAATACATAACATCCGCCAGGCAGCCTCATCCTCCTGCATCTTGTCACCCAGCACCATGCCCTCTCCGTCCCCCTCACCTTCCCCATCATTAGCTCCTACCACAACCCCCATCCTAAATTCCTTCCTCCCCTCTCTCCCTCCTCCCTCTCACACACCATCACTTCAATGAAACCCATCACCTGCTGCCTCGACCCCCTCCCCACCAACTTACTGGTCACCCAGCTCCCCCTCCTCTGCCCACTACTGGCTGATGTCATCAACCAGTCCCTCTCCTCTGGATCAGTCCCTGCCTCCCTCAAAACTGCTGTCATCACCCCCACTCCTCAAAAAACTTTCCCTAGATCCCTCACATTCCAGCCACTACGGCCCTACTTCAAACCTGCCCTTCCTCGCCAAAGTCCTAGAACGCGTTGTTGCCAATGCACACCTCTCCTCCCACTCCCTCTTCGAACCCCTCCAGCCCGGTTTCCGCCCACAGTACAGAGGCTGCACTTGTGAAAGTCTCAAACGACATACTCTCTATCTGTGACCAGGGCTCCTTCTGCCTCCTTGTCCTCCTGGACCTCTCTGCCGCGTTTGACACTGTCGATCACGCCATCCTCCTCCACCGCCTTTCCTCAGTCATCCACCTCAGTGGGACCGCACTCGCCTGGTTCGAGTCCTATCTCACGAACCGCCAGCCGTACATCTGCACAACTGGCTTTTCCTCCCGATCTCATCTGGTTACCTGCGGGGTATCCTGAGGATCCATCCTTGGCCCCCTCCTCTTCCTAGTCTATATGCTCCCTCTTGGGGATGTCATCCACAGACATGGGGTACACTTCCACATGTATGCGGACGACACCCAACTCTATTTTTCCACCTCACTTTGCGACCCCCAGGATGTTCTGTCAGCCTGCCTGTCAGACATCAGGAGCTGGATGAGTGAGAATTTCCTTTAGCTAAATGTTGACAACACAGAAGCCATACTCTTTGGCTCTCGTCAACATCTAAAATCACATTGTTCTCACATCCTTCACCTACCCGACCTCCCCCTAAAACTCTCCGAACCGTTACGCAACCTAGGCATCAGGTTCGACTCCCAATCATCCTTCCTCCCCCACATCCAGTCCCTCACCAGCACCGCTTTCTTCCACCTCCGACGCTTCGCCCGTCTCTGCCAATACCTCTCTTCAAAAGCCGCTGAAACCCTGGTCCATGCCTTTGTCACCTATCGGCTGGAGTATTCAAATGCCCTCCTCACCGGTCTCCCCTCCATTACCATTCATAAAATCCAGGTCATCCAGAACTCTGCCGCCCGCATTCGTACCCGCACCAAACTCCACTCCCTGATTACCCGAGTCCTTGCCATACTGCACTGGCTGCCTGTCCCAGAGAGGATCGACTGCAAGATCCTCACTCTTGTCTTCAAACCCATCCACTCCTCTGCACCCCACTATCTCTCTGATCTCTCTCCTCACAATAGTGCCTGTTGCCTTTGTTCCACCGGGTCTGGCCTACTCCTTGTCCCCCGAGTCCTCCACTCCACCCTCGACGGCCGTACCTTCAGCCACTATGCCCAGAGGCTCTGGAACTTCCTTCCTCACTCCCTTTGCCTCGTCCCTTCTCTTCCTACTTTCAGGTCTCGGCTGAAGACCTTTCTTTTCGACCGCGCCTTTAGTCACCTTCCTCCCCCTCCCCCTGGCTCGGCCCCGGGATCCGTTACTGTGAAGCGCTCTGAGACGCCGTCCGGCGTGGAGGGCGCTATATAAATCCAAGTTGTTGTTGTTGTTATTATGACTTGCTTCAGCTGCATTAAAAAACAATAAAATATGCTAACTCTACTTAAATATCCTCAAAGGAATTTCTATCCTCTGTAACTCCGATTTTTCAGTGCCACACATTTTGGTTTTAATGGGAAAAATGATCAGGTTCCTGTCTCAAATAGTACTGGGCAGGAAAAAAAGTGGACTTGATTATCCAACTATGAAGCAAGCAGTTTGGAGGAAAGGGAATACAGATTGAATAACTGCAGCCTCACTATCTATGTAGTGTTTGTACATTTCACAGAAACCTTGCTACAATTACAGATAGGAGCAAGAAAGCCTGAAACCTCTTGAAGCTATGGGCTTTCACAGTATTGTTTTGCTTTAACTAACCAGCTCCCAGATCAAGTTCTTTGAAGCATAATAAGTGACAGGAGGAAAAGAGATGTGAGACTGATACAGAAGGAATGAAAGATTTGCAATCTTAGCAACCTTTTCAGTTTTACCTTTTTTTTAATAACGTTTCTTATGCCATTATTGCTTCTGTTTCGGATGAGACATTAAACTGAGTTCCTGTCCTGCCTGTCTGTTTTGATGAATATTAAAGATCTCAAGGCATTATTTGAAAAGAGAAAGGAGTTTCTCCAAGTATCCCGACCAACAATCCTCCAAATAAAATTAGTTATTCACTTCATGGCTGCTTAAGTCTCCTTGGGATGTCCTCCCAATGTGAAAGGCACTGTATAAATGTAAATTTATATTGTGTAAATAACTTCTTGAGATCAGTATTGGGGGATATAATTATAGGGATTCATATACAATAGCAACTTGCATTCATATGGCGCCCTTCATGCAAGGCAGCATCTCAAAGTGCTGATATATACTGAGGTGAATAAAATCTCCATTGGACACAACGATTTATGTGCTGCTGGAGTGAGGAAGTTGGGAATGTTGTCTTTGGAATGAGGGGAAATGGTAGTGTGGTGGAGATGTTGGGAAAGATTAATTTTCTGGAGGTTGTGCTTCAAAGCTCACAGGAAGAGAAACGCTTTCTAGGCCAGAGAGGTGGGCGGGCGGACAGATAAAAAGAGATGCTTGAGAAGCGATATTATATTATGTAAAACTATACCTATGAGTTCTTTCTTGATTTTTGTTGATATTTTACATACAGGCCTCAGACCAAAAGTTTGTAAGAGTTTAATTATTTTCACACTGTCCCTCAAGCTTCCTCACTTCAGGATCTGGGAATTAGAGTTGTTTAACTTGATCAAAATTAGTTTAAATCAAAACGAATCCTTTATTCAGAATTTGATCTTCCACTAAAACAATAATCTGTCCATTTCTTCTTAATGAAAAACAGCTTTCTGAAGATGAATATAACTTACATCACGCAATCCAATTTTTATTTGCATATATCAGTGGTGATTTATGAATCCATTTCTTCAGGAATGCAGCCGCTAACAACATCTAATCTCTAAAAATTTCATTTTTTCTCCAGGGTTTCCTATAGTACCAGCTGCTATCCATGCTGTCGCCAGAACAAAATACTTCAATGACAAGTAAGTGCCCTCTGTATTTTTTATTAACCATTTCCCCCATCTAGTTTTTCTCTACTTTCTTGAAGATATAGGAACACAAGAACCAAATTCAGCCCATCCAGCCCATTCTTTCATATTATTAAATACAAACAGAATGTTTAATCCTCACAGTCTAGACTGACACTGCAATGCAGTGCTTTGTGTATGTTGCATTGTCAGCGGTGCTATCCTTCAAATGAGACATTAAAACCGAGTCTGCCCTTTCATATAGATGTTAAAGATCCAATGATACTTGGAAGGGAGTTTCTCCTGGTTTCTTGAGGGCAAAGAGGGTAGGGGGGTGGCTGAAGTCATGCTCCAAGTGGAGGGTCTTGAGGCATGCCTTGAAGGAGGCAAGGGAATGTGGGATGGAGTTCCAGAGGGTGGGAGCAGAGAGGTTGAAGGCTCGACCGCCAATGGTGGGGCGGGAGGGCAGAGGACATGGAGCAGGCTGGAGCCTACTGAGTGGAGGGAGTGGACAGGTTAATAAAGGGTCAGCAGGTCAGAGATGTAGGAGGGGGTAAGGCCATGGAGGGCCTTGAAGGTGAGGACAAGAATTTTGAACTCTATCCTTTGAGGGATGGGGAGCCAGTGGAGTCGGGCGAGGGTGGGTGTGAGGGGTTATAGAGCCTGGTGCGGGAAAGGACATGAGCTGCAGGGTTCTGGATGATATGCAACTTGTGGAGGGAAGACTTGGAAAGGCTGACAAGCAGGGCATTAGCATAGTCGAGCCTGATTGTAATGAAGGCATGTCTGAAGGTTTCAGCGACCTGAGGGGTGAGGAAGTGGCGGAGTCAGGTAATGTTACAGAGGTGGGGGAAGGTAGAGTGGCATGAATGTGGGGGAGGAAGGACAGTTGAGGGTTGAACAAGGTGCTCAGGTTCCTGACTAGCTTGGTGAGGTGGTGTGTGCAACTGTGGATGGTGATGCTGCCGGTGCCTGAGGTGCAGAGGCGATGGTGCGAGCCAATCAGGAGAGCCTTGGTTTTGCTGACGTTCAAAGCTCTCATCCAGGACTTGATGTCTGATAGGCAGTCTGTCAGGACAACAGTGGTTCTGGGGTCGAGGGTGGAGGCAGAGAGATAGAGTTGGATGTCATCCGCGTAGATTTGGAAGTTGTCCCCATGTTTGCGGATGATGTCACCAAGAGGAAACATGTGCAGGTTGAAGAGGAGAGGACCGAGGACAGAGCCCTGAGGAACACTGCATGGGACGGTGCGGGGGCTGGAGGAGAAGCTATTTGTGGAAACAAAGTGCGTTTTATACAAATATAATATTGTGGGCACTCAGGGATTATTAGGAAGAGTAATCCCTGAAGGTTGAAGCACTTAATAAATGATTACTGAGCGTGGAAAAACACTAATTTAATTCATAGTTTGTTTACATACACTTGTGGTATAATAACATTTTTTAATTGAGCTCATAGGGCATATGCCTGGATTCTTGCTAGCTGAGAAGGGACCACTCCAAACTGTTGTAGAATTTAAGATGGATTTTCTTTAACTGTTTGAGTACAGGGAAATAATTTACTCATTAGCAGCTTGATTTGCTGGGAAGGATGAGACCCATCAGTAGCAATTGATCTGGTTTAATTTACAACGGGACACTGTTATTGTTGCAGTATTAGCTTGTTACTGGCTGGAAAACAAATATTTTAGCCCACACAAAAAAAAGTCTCACACCTCCAAAATAGAGACAGGGAGTTGCTGTTTCTCACTGCAGTCAGTGAATAATGCATTGTGAGACCACTTGACCCACTTTGTTGCCTTTCTCCATGACACTTTGACTCAGTGACTGACTATGTACATGTGGTAGGACTGTTTGTGCTCCTCTTCTGGTGGAGTTCCACTGATGAAAAGTGAGTGTGAACTTTCAAATTGATTTTTGGGAATCCTGGAGAGAACTCATGGATATCTCATTTACCTTCAAGTGGACCATTGGAAGATATGTGTCTTTGATATCAAGGATATGCTATTGACATTAATTACAAAGACATAGCTCTAGAGTCTTTCCCTTTGACCACTGCTGTCTGCATCTGTTTGCTAGTATTCTATCTCAGAACCAATAACCTTTCATCAGATTAGAGAGCTTCCCACAAGGAAGACCAAAACCTTAGGCAAGTTTCCTTACTCCACACGCCTGTTAATCTAGCAGTAAGTAGGAACCCGGTTGTCAGTCGATTGCTGGATCGCTTTTCGGGGTTTCAATAAATAAATAAATAATAAATAAATAAAAAGTTCCTACTTACTTTCAAAAAATAAACAAATAAATAAAATAATAATGTGGCTACTCAATCCATGACTCTTTGTGGGACACTGCTGTATGAAATTAGCTGCCGTGTTTCACCCACAAATACACAGTCAATTCACTTTACAATATATCCTGTGAAGTGCTTTGAGACGTCTCAACGGCATGATAAGGGATTACATTGAATGCAACGATTATTATTTTATTATTATTACATCCATTCTCCAATATTATCTGACTACTTATTACTTATAGGCCCACTTTCATTATGAGTCAAAACATGTTGAAGCGATCCTCCTACATTGCCTTGTGACTGGATCCCGGGTACCTCCCTTGGACCTCTCCAATACTCCTCAAGAAATGGTAATGCCTGCGAACCATTAGCTTGAAGAGGTGTAGGTGGCGCTGTACTACAGTAATGCATAACCACTAGTGTAGTCATGGGACCATTACTATCCAGTGGGCTGAAATCCTGATTACCATCTAGTCTATCATAGTGTTCATTCACAAGTGATACATATTCAGTTCCATAAGTATGAAGACAAACATACTTTAGCTTCAATCATTTTACATAGAGTGATGAATATGTGGACAAAACTAGTTAGGGGAGCAGTTGGGGCAGAATCAAGTTCAAGAGGGAGTTCAAGAGGGAGTTAGATATTTATTTTGATTTCAAGATCCTCCCCAAATGGTAGTAAATCCATTCGACAACAGGAAATAATGTATTACGTTTATTTCTTCTGTTGCCAATCGCTATTCACCCAACTATAGTGTTAATCCCTAACCACCGCTTCTGGAGTAAATGAAACGCATCCTAGCATGCTCGATAAACCTTTTCCAGAAATCCCAATTCACCCACCCTTTACTCACAAGTCTTGTTATTTAGTTATGTACCAGGTCCATTGTGATACTTTATTATGTGGAACATAAAGGCCTTGAGGATTGTGTAATTCTGCTCTGTTTGCTGGATGCAGTGAATATTTTGACTGGGGGATTGAATTGTTCTGCTCCATTCACTACGTTTGGCATATTTGTCCTTCTGTATTTATAAGTAACAAATACAATTTGCTTTGCATATTTCAATTTTAGTTATAATTTTATGTGACAATTTAATGCAATATTGGGGAAATGCTACATGGCCGAAGGTGTCATCCTTTGGATGAGATGTTAAACTGGTTCAGGTGGATCATTATGACACCATTTAGAAAGAGAAGGTAACCAATAACCTTCCATCTTCCAGTGTCCTGGCCAACAATCCTTCAAACAATTGATAATTTACCTACAGAGCTGTTTCTGGAACGTTGGTGGGTGCAAATTAGCTGCTGGTTTGCCTACAAATATACAGTCAGCATATAGAACAACAATCACTTCCTGAGCACTTTGAGATGCTTCTGTGGTATAGTCACAATATTAAATGCATTGAGTATTATAATCAATAATTCTATAGTAACTTATAAATACACAGCAGCAAATTCTCTGAACTCGGTGAATGGAATAGAACAGGTCAGAGCTTCAGATTAATACATTTATTACATTTTCCAAATTTCCAAATGTAGCAGAAACACCTCAACAAGTGAGCTGATGCAGCAGTCACACTATGATGTATGATATACAAACTATCTAGCAGTAACTCTGAATTCCTCCTTTAATTCTCACTTTAACTTCTATGCTGCATGACTTCTCTATTCAGGATACTAGAATACTAGATGTGGCAGTGTGTGCCTGAATACCCACTTTTTATATTATACATTTATCTTGTTAAAGCTAGTGACATAAGGGTCTATCATATAGGTATTTGTAACAGGAAATTCCATTGTAAAGGCAAAATGTTTGCTAATTTTAGCAAATATGCTAGGCACAAGAGTGTCACAAAAGTAAGGAGCACCACCATGTGGCATTTAGATGTTACTTTTTACCCCTCCACCACAGTAATATATAGTAACCGTGAAATGTACCTGAGGAGTTACATCTTAATTTAAATTGACTTTGCATGACTAATTAAAAACAGAGTTCCTTGGTTTTATAGCTCTACAAGGTGCTCCTGGCATCGCCGGCCATCCATGTAATTGAAATCTAGTCCTGAGTGACCCATCTAGCCGCTATGGGTTCATGTAATAAAGATTGATTCATCAATTCCAGGATCATCTTGTGTGATGTAGAATATTGCTGACGAGGTCCTATTAAATGAATCAGCTGCATGAATCATATTACAGAGTCTAATTTGCAATGTTTTCTAAAGGAATTTGTTAACATACTCCAAGCCCCAAATAGTAGTAGATCCATTCCACAGCAGGAATTAAAAAAAAACTAAATGATGCTATTTTATAAGCTTAGCCCATCAGAATTCTTCCTTTTTTCCATAAAGTTTATTAACTATGGATTTGTAGGAAAATGTGGCAGGTAATTTGTGCACAGTAATGCCCACAAACAGCCATGAAGTGAATCACCAATTTTATTTGGGGAATTGTTGGCCAGAACTTCAGGGAAAACAGCCTTCTCTATTTGAATATTGCCTGGGATCTTTAGTGTCCACCTCAACAAATAGACAGGACCTCTGACATCTCATGTAAAGGATTGCACTTGCAACAATGCAGCACTCTCCCAGGACTGTAATTAACATATCAGTCTAGACTATAAACCCCGATGTGGGGCTTGAACCCAAAACCTTCTGCCTCAGGGTTGAGATCTACAGACTCAGCCAGTATTATTGGTAGTCTACCAAGAACATAGGAAAATGGGAACAGGAGGAGGCCATTCAGATCATCAAGCCTGTTTCACCAGTATATTAGATCTTGGCAGATCTTTTAATCCCATTGGCCCACCCTTTCATCATACTCCTTAATAACTCTACACAATATCTGTCTATTTCTTCTTTAAAATATCCTATTGATTATGCCTCAACAGCTTTCTGGGACAGAGCATTCCACATCTTCGCTTTCTACCTGTTTTTTTTTGTTCTCATTTTAAACTCCTGGCTCCTTGTGATGGTTCCCTCTAACAAAGGGAAAAGTGATTCACTAACTAGCCTGTAAATTCCTGTCATTATTTTAAATATCTCAACAAAATTTTGCAGATTGTTTCAGCTAGGATGTGCTTTTAAATTTCAACTTGCTAATGTATCTTGAACTTCTTTTTACACTTGTTTTGAAATTTACTTTTCCATTTCTTCCAGCTGCTGGATTAGTGTTGAAACTCACCTGCTGTATATTGTACATGCCCCAATAGTTGCTGCGCTCTTGGTAAGTCCTTCTGTTTCGTTCCAGTCACCAAATTGGCCAAAGTATGACTGTGGTGTTGGTTCTGAAAAGAGTGCCCCTAACCAGGGCCAGGTACCATTCATTGAAAGCACTTCACTATATCTACAAATTGATGTTATTGACCATTTTGATACACCACATTAATAAAGCAGCCTTATAGAACTATTGAATCATACAAATGTACAGCACAGAAGAAGCCCATGCAACCCAAGATGTCTCTGATGGCTATCTTAAGAAAAATCCTTTCAGTCTCATTTACTTGCCCTTTACCCATACCCTCTAGTTTACTGCTTTTCGAGTATCTATCTAGTCCCCTTTTGAATTCTAAAATGGATTCTGCTTCAACCACCACTAAATTTTATATCCTAAGTACTCAAACCATTCTATATCCTAAATACTCTCTGTGTGAAAACATTTCTCCTGACCTTCCGATTTGTTGATTTACTAACTATCTTAAATTGATGCTATCTAGTTACTGGCTCACCGACCAGTGGACATAATATTTCACTATTGACATTATCAAAACACCTAATAATTTTGAAGTGCTGCATAAGTTCACCCTCCAACAGACTGAAAACAAGCAAATCTTCAAGAAAGGTGATAGTACCCTACCTGGCAACTAAAACCCACAAGCTTGATCTCATTAATTGGAAAAATTATGGAATCAATCTTCAAAAAGAAAATGGAAGATTACTTGTATAAAAATAATCTAATATACGATAGGCAACATGACGACAGAAAGGATAGGTCTTGTCTGGCTAACCTAATAGAAAGTTTTGAAGAGGTGATAGGCAACTTGACTGTGGGTAGCTGTATGATTATTATCTAGACTTCCAAAAGGCATTTGGCAAAGTACCACATGACAGACTCCTTCACAAACTGTGATCACTGGGTATAAAAGGGTAAGACATGGACATGAATTCAAAACTGGCCAAAGGGGGAAGGAAGCCGATGGTCTTTGTTAAGGGAGCTAGGTCAAAATGGGGGAGGTATTAAGGCAGGGTGTCTCTGGTGTCTGTACTGGAATTTTCCTGTTCTTCGTATATATTAATGATCTAACTAATGAGGGGTGAGGCCAAACAGTCTACGTTATCCAAACTAATCTTGTGACCTTATGAATGGAACCGCCAATTTGTGCACAGAAATGTCACACAGACAGCTATAAAATGAATGACCAATTTTATTTGAAGGATTGTTGGCCCAGACACTGGGAGAAACTACACTCTCTCTTTTATCTTTTAATGTCCACCTTGCCCCGCAGACAGAACCTCAGTTTGAAGTCTTAACTGAAGGATGGTAGCTCGAACAGTGTAGTCCTCCTCCATCTTTTTTGATTTGAATTCTCAGTATATACTATGAACCCGTTGTTAGTCGATTGGCAGATGGCTTTCCAGAGGTAATAATCCCTCAAAAATAAATCTGGTCACTCAATCCATGACTATTTGTGGGACATTACTGTGCGCAATTGGCTGCCGCATTTCACCCACAAAATACAGTCAATTCACTTTACAATATGTTCTGTGAAGCACTTTGAGACGTCTCAACGATGTAATAAGGCGCTATATCAAATGCAAGGATTATTATTTATTATTATTAGACTATGGGCTCAAAGTTTTAATGTGTGGTTTGAACTCACCTCCATCTAAATCAGAGACCAGTGTGCAACCAACTACAGCAACAACAACAACATGCATTTGTATAGTATCTTTTATATCAGGAAGACGTCTCAAAGCACTGGGACAGGCTGACACCTATGTGTAAATGGTGTTCTATGCAGGGCTAACCAACCAAGTCTACAACTAGATTAGAAAGATGCCTGCAACGTCTTATCGATTTCACTAAAAAGGTTAGCAACATAAACTACTCTTGCATGTTACAAACCTGTTCTGTTCAATTTGCTAAATGTGGCAAATACTGCATATCAATGTGAAACTACAAATAGCTAGACAAAATATATCTTAAATATAATTTAAAACAGCAGTGCAATTATTTACAATTATAAAGTGACAAATTTGTTGTGTTTCAAGAAAGGAATAATTTTGTGAGAACACACAATCTGGAGCCCCTAACCCTTGGTTCTTGTCGACCTGCACCTGATACTCTCTGAAAGGTTAAGCAGAATGTGTCCCTCCGGGAGAGAGTGCCCATTCCATTCCAAACACAGGAATTGCCAGGTGCCTGGAATTCTCAATTAGATTTAATAGAGGTGTTCAAATTATTAATGGTTTTGATAAGAGCAAATAAGGAGAAACTGTTTCCACTGGTGGGTGGGTCGGTAACCACAGGCACAGATTCAAGATAACTGAGAGATAAGGGGAGATTGAGAGAATTTTTGCTCACTGTGAGTTGTTTACACCTGGAATGCAAGCAGATTCAATAATAACTTTCAAAGTAAATTGGATATTTACTTGATAAGAAAAAAATTGGCATGCTATGGAGAAAGAGCAGGGAAGTTGGACTAATTGGATAGCTCTTTCAAAGTGCCCGCACAGGCACGAAGGGGCAAATGGTCTCCTTCTGTGCTGTAGGATTCTATGATTCTTTAATTTGGATCACCATGATTAAGCACGGTGATAGATTTCTGCATGTGTTAGATACCCAGCTGACAAAAAAAAACAGAATAATTGCTTTGTTCTGAAGTCTGGAGCCCTATTCTGTTTGTTGCTGTCTTTGCAACAAGCTATGTTGCCATTTCACTATAAAGGTGAATGTTGCTTTTCTGCTGATAGTGCAGCTTTATCTCATGGCTCAGCAGTCAGAGTTTTTTTACTCAAAGGCATTACTAGAAATGACTCCTTATTTCTCAGAAGTGGCATAATGATTTATAAATGTAGTAACAGTCCCCATGAGGTAAATATGCCAGCCAATACTGATCGGTTACATAGCTAGGCACTCAGTGATAAAACTGCACATATGTCTACAGTAGTATTGCTGAATCTTAATAAATCTACTTAACTTGCCAAGACATTTCATGTTTCAGTCAGGCTTTCTGTAAACTGTGGATAAAAATAACGACTCGCACATGCTGCCTTTGGTCCAGCATCAATAATTGTATCTTTACTTTTCCCTTCTTCTCTGGAGCTCTCCATTTGCCTTGTTATCTCTATGCTGCCTTCTAAACCTCCTGAAAATATATCTTCAAATCACTTACTTCCCTGCTCAATCTCCACTAATATATTTCTCAAGAGCTCTGAGATGTTCTTTTCCGTGAAAGATGCCTAATAAATGCAAGAAGATAAGGTAGCAACACAGGGCCATAAAAGGGGCAATGGGGTATTGGGCTTCATATTGAGAGCGACAGAATATAAAAGAGAAGGTAATGTTAAATTTGTATAAAATCTTAGTTAGACTACATTTGGAGTAACGTGTCCAATTCTGGTCTCCACACTATAGCAGGAATGGAAAGAGTACAGGTTCACAAGAATGATACCTGGGAAGGCAGGTTATTGCTATCAGGATAGACTGGATAGTTGGGCCTTTTTTTTGCTAGAGAAGACATTTGAGGTGGGGAACCTAATAGAGGTGTTTTAAATTATAAAAGGATTCAATATGGTTAATATAAATAGGCTGTTTTCACTGGCTTGGGAGTCTGCAATCAGGGAACATAAATATAAGATAGAGACTAGGAGATCAAAAAGATAATTTAGGAAGAACTACTTCACAGAGTGGGCAGTGAAGTTGTGGACTTGCTGCCCAAAACAGTGGTTATTCAGCTCTTTGCTGTGTGCAAATCGACTGATGCATTTGCCTGTAAATATACAGTTACTACACAAGAGTAATTGTTGTGAAGCACTTTGAGATATTTAAGCATTTTAAGTACTTTATCAAATGCAAAAAATATTATTTTATGTGTAACTATCTTCCAGGAAAGGATGGAGTAAGTTGTGTCTCCTTAGAGCTGGTTCCAATGTGACATTTTGGCAAGTAATGTCAGAATTGAACCAACCCTTTGTCGATCTGGGTAGTCGAGTTTCTGAGCCAGGTGTGTTCGCAGTACTCCAGGGCACTACTGATGACAAACCTGCCAGCCTGGCTCATCAGCAGGACTTGAAGGGACAGAACAGTCATGGGGTGGCAATCTTCACATTGTCCTCCTGTTAATCCTGCAAGCCAGAGCCGTAGCACGTAGGGTAGTCCTAGCTAGACAAGCAAAAAAACTTGCTAGACATTGCTTTCAATGGCAAACTATGTAATTTCAGCTGATTAAACTCCAGCAACACCCCCAATGTTCACTCCTTGGCTCTCATCAGCCTGCGACTAATACTATCCAAATTTAGATAAGCAGGGTGCATCCATCCAGGGAGAGAAAGAAAAATGTGACGTTATTGTGTATTTAACAATGGGAAATGTGTAATATGTTTCATGATCTAGTGTGTCTCAATTTCTGTGGTGTTGAGATTTATTTCAGAAGCTCAGTTTGTTTTTACACTGGGTTCTCATTGTCTAACTGATGGAAATCATGTTTTTATGGTCATTTACAGGTGAACTTGTTCTTCTTACTCAACATAGTGCGCGTCCTGGTCACAAAACTGAGAGATACTCACCGCACTGAATCCAATATGTACATGAAAGCTGTCAGAGCAACTTTAATACTTGTGCCACTGCTAGGAATTCAATTTGTCATTATTCCTTGGAGACCTGAAAACCGACTTGCTGGAGAAATCTACGACTATATCATGCACATATTTGTTCATTACCAGGTATGACAAAGGATTGCTTGTCAAACAGATATTTTCAGTGTATTGTGAGTGATTTGCTCGAGGTTAAAGTGGAATAACTTAAATGGGGTGACACGAAGTTTACAGAACTTGGACGGGGAGATTATTTTGATGTCTGCTGGTCTGTAAATCAATGTGGGTGTAAGGTATAGGTTACAAGGAGAGTGATGGAAGCCAAGACACTGAAAAAAAAGCTTGATGCTGTAATGGGAAAATGGTATAGTTGATGTTCTGGAAATATGAGACCCAATTTGCAGTAAAGCCTTCTTCATCCAAACTTCTCCTTTGATCTTGTGCCCTGAAAGTTTGCAATTTATAGAGTAGGCTATAACTCTCATTGTAATATTCCATTGCATTTGAATCCATCCCCAGTAGGAAAATCACCTTCTTTGCGATATAATTTCACACTGAGCAATCATGCAAAACTCCTTGACCTAGACCTTATGCTCGACTAGCAACAATAAGTTATCGGCAATGGAATACCTTCCTGAGTACAGTATGCGTTTTCCAAGCACTGGCAGGAACTACCAGATTAATATACTCAGACATGTTCTCCTAGTATTTAAGATAGAACTAAGGCTACCACTACTTAGAAGAGAGTAGAATATACACCCAAGTGATAAGGATAGCCCAGATTTTAATGTGATGAATATTGTGATGTAAGGTTGCTTTGCAGGCTGATATTGCAGTGTTTACTGTGGAAACCACTGCATTGTCTCAAATGCTATCCTTTGGATGAGATGATAAACCGAGGTCCCATCTGCTTGTTAAAGATCCCAACACATTCTTCCTGACCAATAATCTCCAGATAAACTGATTATTCATACTGAATTAATTGCTATCAACATCTCCAGTATTGCAGCATGTGGTTACCAGGATGGTAAAAATCAGACTAGATGGACCTTGGTCTTTTTCGTCAAGCAAATCCTTTGTTCTTATTTTCCTATCATTCACTTCACAGCTGTTTGTGGGTTATTGACATGCGCAAATTCCTCCTCATTGACAATGCAGCACCAAATTTTCACTTTTTAGATCATCTTTCTACAAGCACAGTTTGAACTCACAGATTTTGTGCTGTCATGTTCGGGAGAGGACTACTTCTCTGCCCTTCAGGAATTGGAGCTCTTTCAAATCATAATAATAATCTTTGTACTTGATACAGTGCTTTTCACGTCTTCTAGACGTGTCAAAGAGCCTCACAGAATATACTGTAAAGTGAATAAGCAGGCATATATGGCTCCAACCTCACCTGATTTACACCTGTAAATAAAAAAATATATTTTTTTGTCATAAAATGTACTGCTGGCAAACTGATCAATTCAGTTTTAATCTGGAATCTGTTTTCATCAGTTCTTAAAAGGAACCTCCTTCCAGATTAAGACTGATGTAAGATGTTTCCACAATTCTGAGAGAACTTACATTTTAAAACCAAATGTGTCTTACCTGGTTCTGTTCCAGTATTGGCAATTCTATATACTCTGAAACTAGAGTAATTCTAGACCCAGATGGTATTTGCACCAATTTAATCCTTATATGACTTTTTATCATGGGTACTAAGAGAAGAGCAGTACTAAGGTACTGCTGGTTAAAAAGTATCCAATATAATAAGAAGAATCCTTGCATTTGATATAGAGCGCCTTATCACGTCTTTAAGATGTCTAAAAGCAATCAACTAACAAGTGAGAGTCTACAATTCTGGATTTATAAAGAGAGATCCTGTCTGATCAGTTATGGCCAACTATTTTGAGGAAATGATTGAATGTATGAATAAAGGGAACATCGTGGATGTTATGTGTAACATGTTGATAGATATGTGTTGGGAGGGTATGCATTTTACCCTCACAAATGTAATTGGTGGACCAGTTGTTCTCTCACTCTTCTTAAGCCGCCAGTTATGCTTGTTCTGCATTTAAATTTATGCAAGTGCTGTTTTTCTTTTCCACAGGGCTTATTGGTGGCCACCATATTCTGTTACTTTAATGGAGAGGTAAGTTCATAAAGACTATCCATCAAATTTTATATAAAAACTAGTCACTACACTTTACATAAATCCTATGAAACACTTTGAAATGTCCTCCTAACTTGAAAAGCACTATATCAAATGTAAGTGTTTTTATTTACCCAAGGCATAACTAATTCTGTGTTGATAGTCATTGCAATGTGTACCATGCCATTGCTGTTAATTTAATGTGTAATAACAGATTTCTGTAATAAATTCAAGAAAGTAGATCAGCAGCAGGGAACTCCCACATACGTCATTTCCAACTCATGAAAACTCAGCTCTGAGGCAATTTCAAGCAGATAAACAGTGCTAGGAAAATGAGAAAGGGCTGCCTGGAGAGTGCGTAAAGCCTGCTTACAGAATAGAAGAGTGCAATTTGGAGAGGAGTTGTTGGTGAATTGATGAGCATTGTTGATAAATGTGTCCTTGGAGAAAGAGTCAGAGCTTGTTGGGATAAAGGATGCTGGTAAAGGATGAGTTCCTTGGAGAATAACCCTGCGTGGAAAAGGCATTAGCTCTTCTCGAACAAATAGTTTTTTTAAATCTGCCAATAAATCATTCTTGCTTGGAACTAAAAATATGTGTTGGATTTAAAAACTATTAAATATATTGCTGAGCGACTAGAAAAATCATTATTGCTTATAGGTAACGCATTTCATTGGTCTCTATGGCAAAGGTACTCTTACTTAAAGAAAAAGCAATGATTATTTGTCAAAATGACCATTATTAAACAGAATATCATGTATAATTAACTGTAATGTTCAAATAGAATATACCAAAATATATATTTCAGATACCAGTCTGGTCGACCAGTGCTTAAGGCTTGATTAATGTAGTTGCCTTGTCATTACACTGACCTATTGATACTATTAAAATTTTGAAAAGGGGGCCACTCTTGTACAATATTTGCCAGTATTTCATTAGAGTTTCACTCTATTCATTATTAGTAATATCGTGTTGTGGATTTCTGCCTGTTTAGAAACAGAGGGTAAGATTGTTACTGAATGGGAACAATTGGCTTCAGGACGCTACCCTACGTGAAGGGCGCTATATAAATGCAAGTTATTGTTGTTGGGTGCATGCTTAAAATAGAAAATCACCAAGGTTATTACATTATCACCACCAGAGGGAAATAATACAAAGATTGGAGACAGTCCAAACTCATCTTTTTTGTGTGAATTGTGAAAAATGATTATTGGTGCCTGTTTTCACCTGCTCAGAAAATTCAATTTATACAATGAAAGTTACATTTATAGAGCGCCTTCCACGTCAGGAGGGTAGCCAAATTGAAGAAGACCTGTTCATAAGATTTGTTCTCCTTTAGTGAGGGTGGGGTGCAGCTGCAATTCTTTCTGGGAGATTTGTTTTAGGCCTTGATCACCAGATACCATCTTAAAATTCCTCATGCCTCTAAGTGTAATGATATTCTGATCACGACTTGTCATTCTTTGAGGCACTATGCAACTGGCAGCAGAATGTGTCACCTAGGCTTTTTAAAAACACTAACCCTCCTCTCAATAATGTGACACTAAGATAAGACGTGATAAGATAGAGCTTGTACTGTGAAATATAATGTATTCTTCTTTCAACTTTCAGGTACAGTCAGCTCTCAAGAGGCAGTGGATGCAATATAAAATGCAGTTGGGGCAGCGCAGGCGAGATCACTGCTCCATGCGCTCTACCTCGTACACAGCAACATCCATCACCGAGGTCCCTGTTTATCTGTACCATCAAGACAGCAACAGCGAACATTTAAATGGCAAGTACGTGGAGGATGCGGAAATCATTTCCCTGCGATCAAAAGAGACGTACGCTTGACAGGACGAAGGAAAAAAGAGAGAGGAAACAGAACAAGAAAAGAAACCAAGTCATTTGCATTTATTCATAATACCACAAAACTCCAACATCACTTTTGGTCTCTAACTCAAGTAGCTGGGCACAGCAGATGTCGAGGGAGTTACTTTTTTGGCATCAGGTGTAAAGGAAGATGGTTATTTCAATATCTCACACAGTACTGCTTTCAGAAACCTGATTGAAAATGGAGTTGGCCGCAGTAGACATGCGGCATTTCCAAGGCTGCTAGTTTTTTTTTAAATGGAAGTCACACTCTGAAGGCCTAACTGAGAATAATTTGAATAGTTTCTACCAGATTCACTGACTGCAAGCAGAGCACCAAAGGGTGTGGAACTCAGCAGCAACAGGCTGTATAAAAATGGAGCCACACACCTTGTGGTTCCAACCAGATTAACCAAACCTGCGGATTTTATTTGTCACCTTCATTACCCTCCTCAAAAGAACCATTAAGGAACCTTAAAGAAATGCGATTTACTTTAGGCTTCTAAAGCCATGTCTTACTTTATTTCTTTGTGTTCAATTCATCACACAGTGATTAATTGATTTCACAGATGCTATTAGTTCCGAAAATTAAATGTGCACCTTATTTTCTCAAATTGAGGCTTTTTGCTGTGAAAGCGAATATAGAAAATACCTGCCTGAAGACAAAGCCACACACAGTGCAAGAAAGCGTAGCTATTTATTGTGAAAATTAATTTTCCAAAATTAAAGCATTAACAAATTCGCTAATCACTGTTTAGCCAGTCATTAATAAACTTGCTATTTGGCATGATTCCCAATGCAGAACCAAGAGACATAATTACTGCAGTTTTACAGAGAGACTGTGGACTATAGCAAATTGCAGCTTGGAGTGAGCAAGTCACAACAGAAAACGTGCAGGTCAACAAAGGTCATTTGAGAACAAACATTTTAAAGTTGTCTATTAAAACGGCAGTGAAGGTATATTTTTCAGCTTCACTTAGTGTATATTGCGACCTTGTGGTAAGTTACTCTTAGAATATTCACTAAAGCACATGCATTGACATATAGAGTATGTTAAAACTGATCTTTCTCAATGATTAGTTCACTTTACATTGCAGTTTCTTCAAGCAAATTTAATTTAACTTGTTTATATACATGTATTTAATCAACAAACCATGACACCAAAATGTGTCTGCTGTAGCAATTGTCATTATGTGCTCTGATGCCAAATGGTATCTTTGATAACCGACATTTAGGTAGAGACAAGACAGCTCTGTGCTGAGACAAAGGTAAGTAAGATGTTACTTAAGCGATATATGATGACAAAATGTCTTATGGAATGTATAGTAGATCGGAATAGGTTCCTACTCAACAAAACTGTAGCTGGGGAGAGGAACCCAAGAAAGTTTGATTGCAGTTCCCAACATGATGCTGTAATGAGAAGATAGTAAAGTTGGTACAAAATCCACAGTCACTGCAATCTACAGTAAATGCTGTGAGTGCCTTCAGACAGTTCAGTGATGTGATAAGGCACTCTACGAAATGCAACAATTATTATTACTATTTATATATTCTGATGAATGAGATCAAATGGGCTAAAGGGCCTTTTTTCATCTGAACCTCACTTGAGATCCTGGAATAAAACAAAACTGGGACACTGGACTCCTATTACATAGAATGCAACATTCCATTTATTTCGAAGGCATTTCATTAATAGACTGAACTATTTTGATTGCATAATGTAACGAATACAAAACCCTAACTAAGATTTACATAGCATCATTGGAAAATCAAAACCATTTAAGAAATGGTATACCCAAAGCATTGATTTACACAACAGTGTAAAAACACTCACAAAAACAGCAATTAACCACACGTGACCCTCTAACTTGCTATATCATAAATGTTTGCCAATGGGAAAGATACGTTTCTAAAGCACCAGTGTTATTTGTTACTCCACTGAATTGCATTTCTACAAAAACATTTTCATCCTTTTGAGGAATGACACTCAGGGTGTTTTCAAATTATAAAAAAATTTTAAAGCACAGAATGAGGCCAATTGGGCTTGTCTGCCTGTGCTAGTATTTTTCTGTCTTGTTTTTCTAATAATAAGGGAGCCATAAATAATTGTTTTCTAGCAGAGACCATAGCACATGAAACTACTGGAATGATAGTGTGTGCAGTTGCATTCTGCAATGTCACGGTCACAAGATTAAGAAAATAGCCAGAAAATATTACAGTTCAAATAAAGTTTGGGTCTTACTCAATGTAAAGGGATTAAAATCTGTTCATGAACTCCTTTTCAAATGTCTATGAGGCATCCAAGGGGCTAAATTGATTTTGTTGATCCTCCTATGTATTGGAGTTGTGCGTGCAAAAGTCAATATAAAGTAATTCTGTTATGTTAAGGAAGCCTTCGTCCTTCCACCACTGCTCCTGTCTCTCAACTATAAAATGTTTCTCTGTAAAAAGACCCAATGTAGCTAATGAGCATTATCTGAGTCCAGCACTAGATAGATAGATCAGTTTCTTGAGTTTTAAGGTTAAAATAAATATCAATGTAGAACATTCTTGTCATCATATTCAAACTACAAAGGCAACCAAATCGGTATCATGACCATACCTCCACAAGGATGATTATATTCTTATATTCCATTCATCAGTACTTGTGTCTTTTTGTACCTAAGTCAAATGAATTTGAGCAGTTTTCTATACAATAAATCCAAGTATGTTCCTTATGTAATGTGTAGTGTTCTGTTGCATTGTGAACGCCAGATTATGTTTCGGAGAACTAGGTGTAAATATTTCACCAGTGTGACTTACCTGTGAACACCCCTTAAAAATGCTCATAGATTAATTTCTAATGCTTTTTTTTAACATGTACCATGTTTTCAGTGTTTGTTACTTATGTATGTTTGCTTATTGTTCATTCATGTTTGAGAAATAATTCAGATGGCATCTCAACATGTTGATAGCTTTGTGTTTAAATACATCACTAATTAAAGTAAAAGAAACTCTGACTTCTGAGACAATTTTTGTTTAGACACAAAATATATGAATAAGTGACAATTAAAATTAAACTGAAAAACTATTGTTACTTTCATTTTAATAAGGGTGATTGTTACATGCCTGAGATGTAAACATTTATTTGGATGTTTGACTCAAGTTAAAGGGATTAAAATGTAAAAAATGCTAATTTCTAACAGAACTTCTTAATAAACAACATCAAACAGCAAAATTACATTTGTATAGCGCCTTTCATGTCGGGAGGACATCCCGAGGCTCTGGATAAATAAAGAATTTATGTAATTCACATAACCTGAGACCTCTGTCCAGTAAACAGAAGGATATCAAGCTTAAGTGAACTCCACTATGATACGATTTACTTTTGAAGCAGAGGTCCCATGAATTCCCAACTTAATTTGGAAATCCTGCATTTTAGATACCATCAAATAATAACCAATGATGGTGCCATGCCGGCATTATAGAACACAGGTCTGTTGCCTCAGTGCAGTGGGACACAGATTGGAACCCAACATTCTCTGGGTTGTGAATGGGAACCGGGCAGAAAGGATCACAGGATTATTAACCAAGGTTATTATTGCACATTTTCTAGCCACTAACTTCAGAGCATTGATAACACAAATCTGATAACAGAGCTTTGCTTTGTTATTGAAGAAAATGAAAGCTGGAGACTGGATGAAAGAGCATTAACTGCCTCTTGTCTAATAATAATATAATAATAATCCTTGCATTTGATACAGCGCTTTTCACGTCTTCTCGACGTCTCAAATTGCTTCATAGTATAGACGGTAAAGTGAATTAATTGTATATTTGTGGGAGAAACGCGGCAGCCAATTGCGCACAGAAGGGTCCCACAAACAGTCATGGATTGAAAATGACCAATTTATTATTGTTTGTTTTGGAGGGATTATTATTAGGCGTGTGGAGTAAGGAAACTTGCCCAAGGTATCGCCCTGCCTGGAATTGAACCCAGGTGTCCCATTTGCAAGGCGAGTGCCCTCACCACTGAGCTACAGGAATCCACTAATAGCTTGTCTGTCTATCAATGTCCTAGCACTAAAATGTTAATTTATGTGGTCATCTGAGAGAAGGTGGAATGACGAGTTTTTGCTGATTATCCTAGGACCAGATAACAATCTGCTTAAGGAGACACAAACAGTTTTTTTTAATCAGAATAATCTTGCCAACTGATACCTTGAGAGAAGACGAGTTCTTCTTCTGACCTATGTGTGTTCATAACTGCATCAATGGAAATTGGACAGGGTGTTAGGCTGGCTCAGTTGGTAGTATTCTTTCTTTTGAGAAGGTTGTAGTTCCCAGCATCCACATCAGGACTTTGAGTTCCTAGTCAAAGATGATGCCCAATTGTGGTGTTAAAAGAAGAATGCACTGTTAAAGATGCCATCCTTTCAGATGAAATGTTAGACCAAGGACTTTTCTGCCTATTAACAATAACATGACATTATTTGTCAGTCTGGGTCAGTTGGTACCATTCTCGCCTCTGAATCAGAAATTTGTGGCTTCAGGCCCCAAGTCGGAACTCATATAGTCTAAGCTCACACTCAGGTGCAGTGCTGGGTGGGGGGTGGGGTGGGGATGGTGCTGCATTGTCAGATGTGCTGTCCTTTGGCTGAGACATTAGACCATTTGTCTGTTCAGGTGGACGTTAAAGATTCCATGACACTATTCAAAAGGAGAAGAGTTTCCTGACCAACAAACCCCCAATTTAAATTGATCTTTTACTTCATGGCTGTTTGTGGGGCATTGCTGTGTGTACATTGGCTACTGTGGTCGTCCATAAAACACACAGTATATCCTGTGAATCGCTTTGAAATGTCCGCCTGACATGAAAAGGTGCTATTACAAATATAAGGATTATTATTATTTAAAAAGAGAAGGGAATTTCTCCTGGTGTTGTGGACCAGGTTAAATTATTCATTTGTAGTTATTTGTGGGACATTGCTATACGCACATTGACTGTAATTTCCTAATCACTACACTTTACAGAAAACTATTTAGATTAGCATCTTTTACTATTTGGATCTGGTGGATGCTAGAAATGCTAGGAGTTCATTTATATAGGGATTGAAAAATAATTACTGAATCTGTTATGACATATAACCTTTTTCACTCATCTAATGATGTCGACAGAGCTGTTGAGTTCTTGGTAACAAAGATGCCAGAACAGATAATAAAAAGAGCATTCTTGAGAGGGTCCACTGTTCAGTATAAGAAACACTGACAATTTGGTTTGTTTATTGTCATCTGAGACTCTTTTCGGGGCAATATTATCATTATGCCATTCATTTGAGGAAACAAGAATTTCTCTCTTGTAAGGCACACATACATTCCTGAAAACAGATGGCAAGCATCCATACAATTTCCAAATACTTGCTAATAGTTGCCTTTAGTG